ATCACACTATCTATTAGCACCAGATGGACACTGGGTATTGTCTCTGTTAATCTGTTTTTCTTGTTCTTCCATTTTAATTTCATGTTGGCTGATATTTTTCTCTTGAGGATCCATTTTCACCACAACCACTAGGACAGAATTGTAATTCGACTTGAATGCTTATGTGCAATTGGAGATACAAGGGCGAGGTTATAATTTATCTCTTCTTTTTCTTTAGAAAAAAAAATCAGAAGTTCTATTTTCCATTGTTTTCTGCTCTGGCTTCCCTTACAAGTGGAAAAAGAGACTCTCAAAAAGGGTGTAGGCTAGGAAGTGTGTGTTGTCTCTTCATGCCTGGTGGAGGCTCTCCTCTCCTGGTAGAGGTTGTGAGAGGAAAACAAGTGGTTTTCACAACTACCTTTTAGCTCTGGTTTTAATTACATTTTCTTTAAAGGGCATGTGTCTCCTGACAAAGGCAGAGGGGTCAAGAGGGAAGTAAGCAGTTAAGGAGTGTTTGTGGAGAGGTTTATTCCTGTGAGGGTTCGATAAATAAACATCGACGACTTACGACAATTCCTGGTAGATGGTTATTTTATATAATTAGAGCACTGAGGCTAACAGATTCTGAATCCATTTATAGGATGATCAGGAATGGGCAATGGCACAGAGCTATGTGAGATGACAGAAAGGGCATGGGACTGGATGTCAGGCGGGAGAGCTGGCTTCTAGGGCTCTCTCTGCACCTAAGCAGGAACATGGCAACTTCATTTATCTTTCTGGATCCCAGAGTTCCTGGTTGCTAAATTGGGGATAAAGGGAGGTGGGGAGTAAAGTGGTGATGCCTAGCTAATTAAAATGACATAAATGATATATACTTTATAGGGCACTTTTAAACATTTTAACTCAGAGAAACTCTAGGAGGTGGGAAGAGAAGAGTATCATTTTACAAATAATATAAGAAAAGTTATATTTGAAAATGGAAAAACTGAGCTAGAGAGGTTCAAGGTGACCAGGTTTCCACGTGGATTCAGCCAGACTACAAACCGGTTCTTTAAAGTTGCCTTTGGTTGTGAGTGACTATGGTTTTCTGGTTTTTGTTATTATGTTAAATGCTGATGAATTCCAGTGTTTAGATCCCTGGGTAATGCCAAGTTGAAGAATGTTACATTTTTCACAAGTTACCTATTTTTTCCTCCTTTAGAACTGCATTAGTTTTCTCCCACCCAGTGATTCACAAAGTGTGGTCTGGAACCAGCAGCATTAGCTGAATACTTAGAAATGCAAATTCTCAGGCCGCACGCAACTCAGACCCGCAGAATCGGACACCCTAGGGGCGGGGCCCATCAATCTGTGTTATATCAAGCCCTCCTGGGGATGCTGAGGCAGCTAAAGCTCGAGAACTATTGCTGACCTGTACACACTTCGTCCCCTTGTAACTGGCTGAAATTCGACATTTCCCCACCTACCTGCACTAAAGGCTGTGCAGCTGGAACTCTGACCTATAACCAAGCAAATCCACAACACGCTGTCAAACCCGTTTTTACAGTGCTTAAACCTGTGACTGTATCCATCATGTATCAAAATATTCCACAAATTTATTAGTCTTTGTTACCTCCTTTAAGTCTACTTGGAATTTGAAAACATTTTTAGGAAAAATGTCATCTAGGTCCAGCTTATCATAAACCTTGAGATAAGTTAGCTCTAGTTAAAAATAGTAATTTATAATAGAATGAATTGACTCAAAGTGGCTAAAGCTTAAGCAAAGGCACTTTTCTATCTGCTCCTCCACTGCCAGTCCCACGCCTGAAATCTCAGCAACGTCAGAAGGACATGCATGTGTACACGAAACCTAAACAAGACCCTCCTCTCCTCCGTTAAGGAAGGAATAGTTTCATAAATTATAAAGATATGCCAAAATAAATCTTTAAAATTTATCTTTCAACGTTTATTTTATAAAGCCAAATATAGCATTTACTAATTACAGTTATATTATTTGTATGTCAAATGTTTGGGTTTTGGAGGTAACAAGGTTTTAATCCAATACATTCCCTTTGATTACTTTCTATGCTTAAGGTTTGAAAGCCTTGCAGATTTCTGGTGGAAACTATGGATTCTGACCCCAGTGTAATACATTTCTGTTTAAATAATTCTGTGTGTGTGTGTGTGTGTGTGTGTGTGTGTGTGTGTGTGTGTGATATGGCAGCTATTACCATAGGACACCAACACTTATGTAAGTGTTCGCAGAAATGCTTTTATATGTATCTCAAATATGTTGTCAGCACAACTTCACAAAGAGAGAAACACAACACTGTCTTTAAAGAATAGAACCTTACACATTTCTGAAATTTACTTTTTTTTTCCATGTTGAAATAACACAGAAATCATCTTTTACCTCCTTGAGTGAAGGCGGCCAGGGAGAACAAAATCCACATAAACGGCACTGCTTCTGTTATTAATTTGCTTCTATAAGCAAGACTGTGGGCTTTCCGTGGAAGTACAAGATTTGCAAATCATATGACCGATAAAATGGCTTATAGCTTACACAGCATTTGTGGAGTGACAGCTTCAGAATGACGGATTTAAAAAATCAGGAGACTTCTGCCCATCGCAGCATTCCAGCTATTTTATTCATCCTCTTTAGATTTTCTTTTGACACCACTTACTAAAAAAGCTACTTTCAGTTATATGAAGACTGACTATAACACATTTCTACCATGTTTTTGAAAAAAGATATAGGAAGAATAAACTGAATATAAAGATTCCTGACAAAATAGCATATAATGCTATAGTTTTAATTTTATTATATATATAAAATACCTATATAAGTATAGTTTTATCATATGTGTATAACTCATATCTATGAGATTAAGCAATATTCAATTTTTGGAAAACGAATGTACACATGCATACACATATGCTTAATTTGTTGACCTCTTAAACTTTGGGATAATTTCTTATGGTTTTATAAAGACGTATGACAGTGTTTCCCCAAATATTTTCCTTTGCCATACCGACACTGTCATTGTTTCAACCTAGGATTTGCTCATAACATCAACACCAAATCTCTCAAAAAAAGGAAGGAGTACTTTTACTGCCAACAGCAAACACCAAAGCCAGCTCATATTCATAATTACTCATCTTTTGAAATATGTTTTGACATGAATAACTCAGCAAAGCTGAGTCATTGCCAAATGGTACCAACTTGTGCAATGGCACTGGAAGAAACATGATAACTACAGAAGCAAACAGCGACTCTGAGAAAATTGAATCCACCCTCATTTGATCCAGGTAATAACAGCGCTATTTTCTGAAGAAGTGGGAAGGTTTTGTTCTCTTCTTTTTTCTTTAAAATTCCGTAACAGTTAATACAATGCATTTAGCCACAATAGTATAAATTTTGTCAAAGGTATCATGAGAAAAAAAGAACACTGGCTTCCTTTGGCTTTTTACCACAAGGATCTCAAAATAAAACTTCGTCGTTTTCTCGACATCAAAACTCAGTTAAAACGCAAAGATTTAGGCAAAATTGAAGGAAATAAAAGAAAAGCTTTGTAGTAGGAAGAGAGTAAAGAAGAAAAAAAATAAGAATTTAACTTCTATATGATTAAGGAATTAACTAATTTTTCATTTTATTACAGAAATGTACACATATCTGTATTCTCATAATATACCCAGATGTATTTTACTAGTTTATTTGCCAGGTGGGTCAGTCCTTTGATCAGAATCCCATTCCATGGGTGGGATCGGTGTGAGACATATATCGCATGCCCCAAGTAATTAATCTGGCATAAAGTCATAGTTAATAGCCCAGTAGAGCACATGGGCTGAGGCTCCACTCACCTTATTAACTAAACTGACAACTTGGCACTAAGCAGAAATACAAGGCCAAATCCACACATTCCCTGACTCGTTTTACACAGGAGCAGGAGAGCAACGATAACACAAGAAAAACTCGGAAGCAGTTTGAGTGAATACTGTAAAATCAATACATTCTACACCTCGGGGGAGAGATGTTTTGGCAAGTTTTTCCAGAAGACCACCTCAGTTACCTCAGTTATTCCAAGCCTAACAAGGAAGTCTCTAAGTCAGTTATGTCTGGTTGCTGCCTTCCGATGGTCATTTTTCCTTTTTTTTCGGAAATACGGACAATAGCTCTCTGAATGCAATTGTTATGATGAGGAAATTGAGCAAATTCAGGTGCCCTTCTGTAAATTACCTGACTGCTTTCTTTCTAATCTCTTAATCTACTCAGATCCCTTTGAATTATTTCTCTCTGCACCTTTTGCAACACTCTCAGACACTGTGCCACTTACGCATTAAATAGATGTGTAGTTAGCTTGTCTCCTGGATAATTAACAGAGATGTTAAGGGCTACTGCTAATTCAGTGGCAAGGCCTGGAAACCTTCCACTACCTGGCATGTCATTGTTTATGGTCTATTAAGCAGTTTTCATTTCACCTTATGGGCCCATAGAACATCCAAGCTAGAGGTTTCTCAGATTACAGATGATTAAATAGCCTCTTCTTTTTGTGTTCAGAATCATCTCTACATATATTGGAGACAATCTGGAAAATTAAAATGGGCAATATATATGTCTTAATGTTCTCAGTTTTACCTCTCTCTCTAAATTATATTCATTGTTTTACAAGATAGAATAATGGCAGTGTTTCTCATTTTCAAGATAATATATTTTATTGTTCTTGTTTGTCTTTTTTCCCAAACAAATTATCATTGTTGTTTTGACTCATTTTATCAAGTGATGCCTTTAGTTTTCCAAAAGTTCTCTTGTTCTAGCTTTATTTCCATCATTCTTACGTATAGGACCTGCATGTTGGCATCATTCAGAAGTCAGTGGATCAGAGGCATCATATGGAGAGGCTTAGCTGCTCTCAAAATCTTGTTATGCAGGCTTTAGTTAGGCAGACTAATACAGCTGCCAGAGAAGAGCTCAACACTTAAAAGGCTTTAGTCATCAAAACATACAGTATAACAATAGAAAATGTATGTAAGTGTTCACTTACCTGCTTCTGATCAACAATTATTTCGAGGTCTTCATCACTGCTTAGTTTTCCATATCCTTGTTCTTTACTTTTCTTGTGAAAGAATAATTTTAAATGATCATTTAGTTTCTATCCATTAATAATCTTAATTCCTACTTAATATTTTTCAAGATAAAAGCCTTTACTTAGCCTTGTTCACTAGTCACAATGCATCATTCTTTGTATCATTCTCTCATTTACAACAGCAAATGTGTTTATTATTAAACTGCTGTCTTATCATTATTCATTAACAAAGCAGCTTAGCCCCCACTATCCAACTTATACCTTTAATCTTTTACTCCATATTCTTATGCTTCTATTTTTAGTCCTGTAGTATCAGAAAAGATTCTTTAACACTGAGATAAATAAGCAATTCTTTGAAGAGTCCTAGCATATTTTTCTTAAAGACTGAAAATTCATTTAGTTTTATACACAAGACTTCCAACTGTTCAATGTTTTGTTTTAATGTCTTACATATTTTTAAGAAAAACAGAAGTATTATGCAACTCAGATAATGAATCTTCAGATTTTCAACATTTGCTTATAAGTCAGGTGAATACTGGCTTATGAAAACCAACTCAGAAATAATTTTAAAAAGATAAATAAAAGAATTTTTAGAATTAGATGTTTGAAAGGCTGGAGGACAGACTATTTTAAGAGTTCATTAAGATGTACTTTTTTTTTTTTGGCATTTTGTCATAAGTAATTTTGTCCCAATGACCACTCTCCATCTATTTCCTCCAGAGCGAAATCTATAAATTCTAAAGTTAGAAAAGGACATAGATAACAATAATCACTTTACACTTGTGCTACAGGAGAGAGATAGTATGTCTGCATCTTTTTTTCTTCCAATGCAATGGTTGGTGAGAATACTAGAAATGTCATGTTGAGTCTTCATACCAGTAACAAATGAAAAATAAAAATTACTACACAGTTAGCTGTAGTTCAAGGTTACTTATTTAAAGATTCTTGCTTTAGTTATTAACTACATCAACTCGAATTAAGGGAATTAAAAATACTTCTGTTTGCACCCACTGTGTCATATTAGGATCCTCATCTCATTGGGGGAAGAGATACACCCTTCAGTGAACATGATAGAAATCTTCACACTGTAAGCACAATTCTTATTTTTTTCCCCATAACATTCAAAAGCCAGATTTACACATTTTTTTCCGTAAAAACATATCTCCAATTTTTGTGGGTTTTTTTTTTTTACTGTAATAAAGAGATTTCTGAATTTTCCAAGTATTAGGATGCATAAATAAAATCCAAATTCTCATTCATATATTAATGAACTTAGCCACTCAGAACAGAACAGATGGCCACAGCATTTCTCCCTATTATTATTCTTGTCCTCATTTGAGGATCCATTTCAAGACTGATGGAAAACAAAACGAACAAGGTTGGTTTCAGTCAAGCTGACTTCCTTCCTATCACTTTGCTTTTGTATTCTTTTTGTTCACTGGTTGCCATAAGATATTGTCTAGAGACCCGCTAATGCAAAACACTTAGAAATGCCTTTCCAAATATTGATCTGTATACGTACCAAGTAGCTCATTTGCATGACCCGGTTTCTGGACAAAAGGACATTAAGTAGAGAGGGAATGTGGGTCCTTCCATCCATTTCACTGTCAGACATCCCAGAATTCTTTGTGCCAATGGCAGTGGCTTCCTTGCCAGAACTTGCTGACCAGAGAACCACAGATCTTGCCCAGCAACAGCATTAATAATGTACAACAATAATTGAAGTATTCCTGAATCATTGTCTTGACTTTATAAACATTGTGAAATTTTTGGCTCACACAAAAAAGTCACTGAAAATTTCTTTTTCTAACTAATTTTTATCTATGCACTTCGATGCTCCTCCACTGTTGTTCCCATTTAATGTTTTAAAAAATCCATCTATTTTAAATTATATAGTTTTTATATTTACTTGTATGCATATGGGCTCTTCACCCTCCTCATCATAAAAGCTCTGGATTTCCCCTTTTTAATGCCCTACCCTAAGCTTTCTTGACAACCACTGCCAGTAGACAGAATATCAGTGCTCAGAGAACATCATTCAAAACTGCAATTTCTGCAAATACCAAATTCTGCCTCTCCAATCTCAACTCCTTATATAATTTAGCGGTAAATTTTCCTGGGGAGAGGCTAGCTCAGGGAAGGGAATTATGTCCCCCAACTAAGCTAAACAGAAGTTGGCATTTTCCAAGAGTGGGATGAGGCATTTAGAGCTCTGGTTTTGTACTTAAACCTCTGGTCTCCAAATAGCACACAACAGTACATAAAGCCGGAGCCTGACAGTTCCACTCCAGAATTAAGCACTATTTTCTAGTTCACCCCACAACCCCGGGGGGATTAATCCTTTCCTAAGCCATAATGGTATTCGCTCACTTACTGCTTATTTCTAGTGCGAGCATAATCCTCTCTCAAGCACTCAGCTTCCCACTTGGGCTGCTCAGCTCAGCCAGCCCAGGCGGGATCTTCAGCTCTCCTCCCTCCTCCCAGCCGGGAATCCCTGTCTTCTAGCTGCACTTTTGCCAAGCACAAAAAGCAAGTCCACAGCCTCTGCCTGCTCTTCCACAGCAGCCAAAGGGAGAGCCAGAGGGAAAAAGCAAGCTCTCTCCACCGTCCGAGGGCGAGGGCAGGGCTTCCGTGGGAGGAGAAGCCGCAGGGCAAGCCCTTCCCGTGCTCCTCCCACCTTCCGTGGCCAGACCCAGGAGCTGGGGACTTCCACTGAGGCCGAGGTTAGGCCCGTCCGCCCGGCCCGTTTATGGCGGACTCCGTGCACTGCTCCCCTGGGTGCAGCCGAGACGGGGCATCAGGGCAGCGAGGTGAAACAGTGAGGGCCGAAGGCAGGAAAGGCGAGGAAACGGTGTCTCTGGGCGGACAGGGCTTCACCCCATCAGCAGCTGTCAGCTCAGCAAGGAAGCCCCAAACACAGTATCTGCCTCTGTCCACGCCACGCTGAATCCTCCCTGACGAACCCACGGGAGACGTACTTTTGTTAGTTACTTGTTAATGCTGGTCACTTTTTTGATACTATTGCATTAGATGGGTAACTTTCTTAAGAAACTGAGCCTACCTGGGAATCCTACCTTTCCACAGACTTCCACCGTCTCTCCTTACCCCTACTTCCTGTTTCCTGCTGCTCTGTTCCCTCCGCCACAAAAGTAAAACAGGTGAGTTTATTTACTCTAATTAAATAAACGTGCAGTAAACTTGGAAACTCTATGGAAAAATGTCAGGCCAGGTGTGGTGGCTTAAGCCTGTAATCCCAGCGCTTTGGGAAGCTGAGGCAGGAGGATCACTTGTGGCCAGGAGTCCAGGAGTAGCTTGGGCAACACAGCAAAACCTCGTCTCTGTAAAAACTTAGCTGGATGTGCTGGCGCTAGACCTAGCTACTCAGGAGGCTACTGCAGGAGTTTCAGGCGGCCGTAGGCCGTGACTGCACTCTTGCACTCCGGCCTGGGTGACAGAGTGAGACCCTGTCTCTAAAATGAAAAAAAATTTAAAAAGAGAGACAATATGGTGGCCACAGATAGGGAATGTATCACATAGGAACATTTTGCAAGTAAGTATCACAAGAATGAAATCTGATGGGCTGGAGAGCTGAAAAATGAAGTAACTCCTGTTTGCTGCAGAATATGAATTTCTTAATAATTAAGGGTTTTAATTGAAAAATGCTAGTTGTGTATGAATTGAATTAAAAGGATTCTTCATACTCATTAGGAATGGAATATATAAAGAACGTTTTGAAAGGGAAAAGGAACACTTGATTTAGCTAATTGTACAAATTAGCCCTAATTGCAATTTTTGCCTAACTACAGATGTCAAATAAATATAAAGGTTTGCATGTAAGTAATTCAAATTTTTAAAGATCAATGCTGCTGTGACACACAGTACATATGAATTTATTAAAGCACATGTCACATATACAATATAAAATATAGCCATAAGAAGAAAAGACCTTCTTCCTATCTGCTTCATGGTTGTCAGGATTCAGTTCCTGTCCTCACATTTCCCCCAAATTCAGGCTCTTCTCTGCCATCTTCCTTCCCACAGCTACATAATCGCTTAGATATTCCCTTTCCTAAAAGATGATTTCCTCATATCTGCTTTCCCTGAAGACTTTGGTCTAATCTCTTTTGAGTGTCAACGAGAAGAAGGGCTGAAAAAGAAGAAAATGTGCTGAAAAGATGCTTGCCGAGCGTGTGGTGTCTTTGGAAAGTTCATCCCAAATGGAAATTTGGTGGCTCTTTCCTGGAAAGAGCCAGTCACCATCTGGATACAGGTGTCTGTATCTAAGAAGAGAGGTAAGGGCAGTGCAGCTAGATCACTAGGGATAATTGAATTGCAGGAATGGATAAGCTCACTAAAGAAAACACAGAGAAGGAAGAGATGAGGACTAAGGCCAGAGTCCTAGAGAACAGTTTAAGTAATGGGCAGAAGGAAAGAACTCAGAACATGTGGAGGAAGAGGAGTGGTTACAGTGTGGGTGGCGGGCGAACTAGTGGAATAGTCAAAGGAAACAGTTCTGATCGTGTCAAATGCTGATGAGAGGTTACATAAGGATATGAACTGCAAGCTTTCAATGTTTTTGGCATTTTGGAAGTCATTAATGACTTTAGGAAGAGAAGTGAAGATGGAAGCCACATTA